TCATATCCGAACGGAGACAAAACAAATTATATTCGAGTACATGATAATGGCCGGATCAACACGACTTGCCGATCAAAAAAAAAAAAAAAAAAAAAACAATGACGGTTTTTCTAACGTTCAAATAAACATAAAACCGAACATGTTTTGCAAAACGGTTAATAGACGATACTGTTGTTGAAGATCTATTAAGCGATCAGTTAGAAAAATAAAGCGCAATATAGCTGATACAACGAAAGCATCGATAAATATTATTGTAATCGAAAAAATACTCCTACTGGAACTCGCTTAACTATAATGAGTTTTAGTGTTATTAATTGTGTTTTTCCACTATTAACTAAAGTGATCAAGAAATAAACAAGAATATAACCGATGAAATGTTTTTTTTTTTTTTTTATTATGTTCATATATGAAAATATCTCCAGGCGATAATTCTCCAAACAATTCAAGATTCCTATACGATACGTGTGATTATTCGAAGCATTTTAACCAACCGAAAACGTGTTACCCGCTCTCAGTGCCACATAAACAGTCGCAGTCAATATATCACTTTAATTAAAATATAATATGTATAACGTTAAAAAACAAATACTATCTTACACTCTTTTACGGTACAAAATAATAATTATAGTAAATTATTCTCTCTCGCGGAAGTTACGCTCGCCGTGTTTGTTCTGGTTGTACATAATTATTGTTTTCGTATTCGCGTTCCGTCTAATCCAACGTGCAGAGTGGATAACCGTGTTTTCCGCGTTACGGGAAAACGGAAAAATACGTACGTCGGTCGTGTTATTTATACACGACAAATGACATCGGCGTTTTCTATTATAACATTATTATAATTAAATTTTACGGCGTTTTGTGCAAATATTCTAACACAATGTTCGTTTTATAAATATGTGTAAGTTTCTTTTAAAATAATACTGAACGGCGGCGGCGCGGCATTTAGATTTGTCATCGCGAAAGACGTATTGTTTGCTTGTGAAAACATTCGCGGATATCAAACACCGTCCGGCGACCGCACGGAAAATTTGGTGTCTATAACTGTCCAGAACGTTTTACTTATCTTAATTATCCGAGATCGGATTAAAAACCTATACATGCCATTTAAAAACATCAACAATTTCGTCAACAAGTTCGCTCTCAAGGCGTATAATATTTAATATGTTTAATGTCTTAAGTATCGTTTTAGATTCACAATTGTAGCGAATGTGTGAAGATTTTTGTTTTTCACGAATAACGATTTGTTAGCCAGCAAAATACTACGATTTTGTCATGGCTTAAAAAATGAAGATTTATTGCTGATGGGTACTTTATTTGAAAAAGTTTTTTTATAAATATTAAAAAAAAACTAACATACGTTAGTTCTATTATATCAAAATATCCGTGGTATTATAAATAAAAGCTGGTCAACCTAAATGTATCACTTCTGATATTTCTTTCATATGCCATTATTATCCTGAACCGAATCGGCTTTGTCATCAGATATCCTTATATCTGAACTTGGATTTAATGGTTTTCATATTTGCAGACATTTTAGAATAGCAATAAAAATTATAGTCAAATCTTGAATACTAATATAAATAATGTTGAACCAATATTTCTTAGATTGTCACGTGGCTCTTTTAAACTATTATTAGACGCTATTTACCTACCTCCTAATAACTGTATTTCCGACATTATAATCTCATACTGCCGCCTTGGAACAACTTATTTCATCTACAGATATTTTATATTCTTGAATGTGGTGACTATGATATGATAAATATTACCTCCGTTATGATAGGGTTTTTGATTTTCTCGTTTTTTCTCATGTCCAACGCGAGTTTAAACTTGGGAATTCAAATTTTACTAGCGTTGTTGTATTCGCAACATATAAAATCGAAATTATAAAAAGAAAAAGCCAATTCGGTGTGATTATAACTAAAATTTTTAAAAAGTCTTCAATAATGAGGATTATAGTTTCCTAATCTAATAGTTCAAAACACTAGACATTGGCTGTTTTCTCTGGTATATTCGTACTTAACGGACAGAATTCAATACGTCAAGACACATAATGGAGTATCTACAATGACAGATGTATGTTCCAGTATCCCCCAGAGAGGCTAACTCAGTCATTTACTCTTCATTTAAAGTAAAATTCTACAAGCAAACGGACAACCGAGGTTAAATTTTTAGTTTTTGTCGACGATATAAAAATATATTAAAACGTTGACGAACGGGAAAGCTGTCTCACCTCCATGACGACAGAATTTGTTTAATGAAAGATTCAATTTTTTTCCATTATAAATTTATAGGAACCGTTTAGACATGTGATATTTAAATAAAACGTTACATTATGTTACACAATTTGTTTTTAAAATATTTATTTTTATATTTTTATTAAGTAATTAAGTAAATCTATCGAAATAGCATATTCGTATTAATATTCAAAGTAAATACTTACTTAGAAAAATGATAACTATGATGAAAATTGATTATCATTAATTTATATTACATTTTATGTAAATAAATAAGTAATGACAGTGAATACTAAATAGTATTAATACATTTTTGAAAACTATTGAAAATTTAAATATAAAGAAAAATACATGTTTTAATTTTTCTAATAAGTGTTAAGAAATATGAAGATATTTTTGTTTTCTAAACTTAATGACATAAGCAAAAAAATATACCTATCAAATTTTTGATTTTATCAGCTCTTCATTGTGTTGAATGTATTTCTACCTTAGTATGTTATAAGTCGGGAGCACATAATGTAATAGGAAAATTATGCAATTTCTACAGTTTTTCGACCCTTATAGAATAACATACAAGTATCGGTTTTTTTTTCTCTCGTAGCAATCCCATCGACCCTAAACTAAATACATATACCCGAGTTGACCCGAATAAGTCAATTTTCTATACATAATAATAATATTACAAAACGATCGCGTCGAATACCGCATTTCGGTTTAGTGCGAGTATTTCGGAGGTGTTATAAACCCATATAGCTGAGCCGTCGCAATATATCCGTATCTTACCACAATTATTATATTATTTTCACTATGGATCCCCCGACCTGTGAGCCGAAACGGTCCTTTTTGAAAACCTCCACCACCGTCGGTCTACATCGCCATATTACATAATCGGTTGGCTATATATACTTAAGCACCGGCACCGACATAAAAGTACCGTCCCGGGCATTCCGTGCATTCCTCGAATCCGGAAAAATAACGCAGATAATGCCGTTGATGTTCACTCTTGACTATCGGCTGATTATTAAGAGATACGCACCGAACTAACATATTTGCTGTCCCTGTCATTTTTTAAATATTTTAATATTAAAACGAGATATGAGATGAGTATGTAAAATATTAAAAAACTCGCTCAAAAAAAAATAAAAATAAAAAATAACATAAAAGTAAAATTGTAGAGCTGTTTGTTTCTTAAATTTTCTATAAAACGAATTCCAAAAAAAAAGTAATACTTTCCGAGATAATGAGTGTACTCACATTGTATGAATATTTAAATTTTCTTTTTGTATTTGTATGCCATGTAATCAACACAGTGACAGTATAAACAGTAAACGTATAAGGTAATAAGATTAGTTTAAATTTCTAGAAATTATAATGAGTTTAAATATTATTTTAATTAATAATTATTGATTGATATTGATCAATAAATTGTTGGTATATTGGTTACACGAGATTGGAAAAAAACAATAAAAAAAAAAATTACATTAAATCGAACGAATAGATAAGCAAAAGAAAAATATCACCTACTCGGTTGTGGTAAAATAGATTATTTTCTTAAGAGGATAGCACACCTGAAAATTGCACGATTTTCTGAGCGTCCGCTCAACGGACAATAACATAATAAAATTACTTCACGGACGATTTAAATTGTTGCATTTAGATTAAATTTAGAATGTAAACAATCATGAGCAAAATGGGAGAATATTTCTAAGGGCGTGTCTCGAAGACTTTTTTTAAAATAGCACACGGAATATTATAGTTTCAGCTATTTAGAAAAGACAAACCTATATATGTTTAAAACACCGTGACTCTTTTGTTGGACAATATTTTACAAAAAAAAAAACTCTATGAGGCACGCCCATGAAAATGTTTTTCGCTTCGTGCTTATAGAAGTTATATTATTAAACTCTACATTTAAACAAAATTTATTACATTTAAGTGCAGCGTCTCGTTACACTTTACTCATTGTTGAATAAAACTATTTATATATATATATTATACTAGTATGGGCATAATTTTTTAGAAGAAGAAGAAACAGTCAGATAATTTTCATCTAGCATCCCTCTCACTTTTTTGTTCGTAAATACCATATAAGAAAGTAATTTTGATGAAACTTAGTGATGATAGCTCAACCTTTCTCGTATCGCAAATGGCTTGAAAATAAACAAAGTGAGTAGTTTAATACTTTTTTGAATTTAATTAAATATGAAAGTACATTAAATTATCTACAAAAAATATTTAACAAAATTTCTTGTACATGTATAATTTTCTGAAAAAAATCAATAAAACACTTAATGAAAGAGTTAGCGTTTTTAAATTTGCGAAAAATTGTTTGTTGACAGTTGTGTGTTGTATAGGTGTTTAAGTCTTGTACATTTTGACGTGAAAATGCTAGTTTTCGAATCATATTCGAAAAACAGTCAAGCTACCCGTTTTAGTCATTTTCAATATTTTTGCGACACGTGAAGGAGTTAAGCTATCATTATTTAATTTTACCAAAATAACTCAAATGACCATAATGATCATATTGACGAGCAAAATTAGTGGGGAGATAAAAACTTTCGAACATTTGTCTATCGTCTATTAAAACGTTCAGTTAAATTAATACCGGAGGAAAAATCTGGAAACGATAGCATACATTCGCAATTCCATGGTACGATAATATGTTACAACTATACTAATGCAGTTCTGTATTATATAAATGCAATATAATGAATGTACAAAATAATTAAGGTCTAAAATGGTATTTAATTTGCATTTATTAATTTGGTTATGATTTAATTCAGATTAGATTTACACTCTTTAAAACATCAATTCTAAAAAGGTAAGATAATGTGGACGGATGCAGCCACTGGTGTAGGTGGGGAGTTGGGAAGGTAGGATATAGACAGGAATTAAATGTATATCTGTAAGTAACGATAAATCATTGTTAACGAAAAAACGATTCCGAAAGGAATTGAATTGATAGTGATTTAGGACTGATGACGGTATATATTTTATTTAAGTCGGTACGAAAATTAATATTCTGACATAATATCGAATGTGATTGAATCGATAGATCATGCAATAACCAATGCATTATTAACTATTTTCAAAAAGATAACTTATAATTGGTTATATATTTTTTAATACATTCAAAAAGAATATTATTAATTAGTTATTATTAAAGCAATATAGTAAATTAATACAAATGTTTAGTAATAGTATAATTAAATTGATAATACGCAGTAGTAGTCTGATTGTATTTCGTTTTATGAATAGTTATCCCGTTTGAATGAATCGCCACGTTTATACTCATATTGTGAACAAATAATATAATATACCTACTCGTATTTAACATTTTTATTATAATGTTATAATTTGTTTTTATATCGTACCAATTAATTTTATATATCACGAAGTATATGACCGATTAATGTACGAATATTGAATAAAGGATCCTCCATGTAGAAAGTTTTAAATTTATCGTCAACTTTGGAATCTGCTAACGGATATTTTATTTCGTCTAATGCTCCGTTAATAAATTTGCAGTTCTGTATTATCTTATCATTAGAGGCCCGCGCACTTTTCGGACGATCCAACCACTGTAATAAATTCTTTACTGAATTATTGAATTTTTTCACGTGCTCATTTTCCCGTAAATCTATCCGTTTTTTTTCCAGTATAGCATTGATAAAATCGTCAAATTCAAATTTGAACAGTAACAACGACAATCTGGTTTCATCTAATACGAAATGTTTAGCGTCAGTTTGAAAATATAATTCACATTGATTTTTAATAATATGTTTTATCCCTTTTAATATTTTGGTCCCTTCTTTTATCGCGACGTACATCATCACGTCGGCCAAGATATTGTCATATTTCACGATATTCAAGTAATAAGGGTCTGTTTTTAATTTTTCCTGTAATCCGACCAAGTTATTTATATTTTGGGACTTATTGGTTTCTGGGTCCGGCCATTTCCATGAAGCCTCATACGTTGGTGTATTCACCTGGTTCTTGACCTGCAATTTATTTTATATCAATACATTTAAAATATCATATTTGTATTTCTATTTATAGGTACTCTATAAAAAATTGTTATTGAGCAGATATGTAATCAACAGTGACGTACACAAGTAAGGAACGTTAATAATTATATTACATTCATTACATTAAAAATACAACAATTATAAGTATTAATTTAGTAATTTAATCTTGAAATATATGTATTTCAGCTAAATCACAAATAAAACGTTGATTCAATGCAAGCAACTGATTAAAAATTGACTTTTGTTGGACCTAACTTTGAACTTCTAGTCATAATAGCTAGAGAAGAAGATTATCGTCTAGTTATTCAAGATTATTATTTGCTGTATCTCATCCCGTTGAAAAATATCGGACACGCCACGGTTGAAAATTCATAAGAATAAATATCCGCTCACGACCAATGCAATTTGAAAAACAAAAAATTATAATTGTGAGGAAATTAATTTATTAGAAATATGTTTTATCATACATTATAAACAAATAAACCAACTCATATTACCGAAAATAAAATTTGTGATAATTTGCTAGTGGATCCCTTTAAAAATAAAAAAAATTACACAAATTAATTAAATAATTTTTTTTTTTGTTTGTGAAACATGTTTAAGGTTAATGATTAATAAATTAACGGGTAAATGCTATTAATCGAATTTATAATTTTATATTTTTTATAAATAATAATAGGTATTAAGTTCTCCATCAAAATAGTCAATTGAAATTTGGAAGTGTAAAATATTGTTTTTTTTTTATCAAAATATTTATTAAATTTGTCTTTAATTCATTCGCATAATATTATGTAGTTATATAGAAAAATAAATATTACTGTACACGTAAAGCGTGATTGTTTTTTAATTGTTCTAGAAAACAAATTTCAAAAAAATTTAATATTTTCCGAGTTAATGAGTTTACCACTTAATTAAACCAACTGGTATAAGTTATATTATACTATTTAGGCACCTATAATTATTATCGATTTATTCATGTAAGTTGCTAAGCACGAAAAAATTTGAAATGAGTGATAATTTTAGAATTACGAATTAACAAATCTGAAAAATCGTTCATACAAATTAGTCTCGAATTCGTAATTGATTATTTTTCTAAAATCTCAAAGTGGCAAAATATTCATATCCACACAGTCAATTTCGTATTTATTGATATTTCAGTATGATTTTATATCGATGCACTGAATATTTGTTTATCTTCATTATAAACATAACAAAAACATATTTTTTTTTTTACCCAATCTACGCCACTCCGATGTGTACATAATGTTTTCACCGTTATATAGTACTTGAATTATTTCATTACATTTTCTAGTATTATATCATAATATTCATTGGTTTTAATTTTATATTGTATTTATAATTTATTACAATTTTAGGGCTGCATTATAATATAATTTGTTTTTTAATCGGTATACAAGGTTTAAACTTTAATATAATTTTAATCATAAACAATATTACTATTAGAATAACAAAGTTCACAATGTAAGACGGTCAAACGAATATTAGAATATTACTTGTCTTTCTTTTTTGTATTTATCGAATTTGTATTCTTCAGTTTCCTATTATACAAACAACATTTTTAAAACACAATTTAGAATACATAATATAGTTATTATTATCATTATGATCATAATTTTTTTTTTTTTTTTTTATATATAAAATTAGGAATGCTTATAATAAATTATAATCAGGACTGTTTTAGTAATAAAGAGGAATATAATATTATCATAATCGGTAGATTTGTATGTACTTAAAATATTTTTGACCAAATCAGCATTTTTTATTTAAAAAAGGTAATTGTAATAAAGGCAAATTTTTCCTAGAGTATAATTTTGTTTAAGATAATTATAATTCATAGAAGAATATGTTTTTTTTTTTTTGTGTACCTAGATAAATAAAAGTGTTTTGAAAATGCATTTCTCAATCATCACGATAATGTAGCTTTTAACTGTGTACTATAATGATATTTAACAATTTAACACAATAGATTTAGTCAACGTACTTACATAACCCAATGAAATCATAAGTTATCGATGAATCAATTGGAAATTCATCGTAACATAACACGATATGTTTATTAAATATTAATTTTGATATTAACTGTAAAAACGTCGTTTTAAACGAAACCAATATTTATTATGATATTTTCTATAATTCAATTAACACATCGCGTGTAAACCGACACGGTTTTCTAACACCGAAAAAAATAGATTTTTAAATAGTATTATTATTATTGTTACTATTATCTTGTGGAATTTTAAATACAAAATGTGGGCATGTACATTAGTAGTACAACCAAATATGAACTAATTCGATGGTTAATATTAATCCAACCAGTTATAATTATAATTAAAATATTTAAGAACATACAATTTAATAATGAATAATATATATTTTTTTAAATGATTCAGTGCTACCAAAACAAATATGTTTAATTCATACGCACAACAGATTTCAGAGATAAAACTTTACAACTATAAATATATCTCACTCTCTGATAACAACTTGAACTAGATTAAAGTTATAACTATTTAATAAATAATACAATATACAATTTTTAAAAATAAACATAATTCATATAAATTAATAATTTTTTTTTTTTTTATCTATAAATATAATAGAGTTGTTAAAATTATCTAGTTACCAAAATTTTTCTACAATCCCAGGAATCGATACGAATTTTTTTCAAAGGAAATTTATGACCATTGACAGTCGAAAACTAAAAAAAAAATAATAATTTAAATTAAATAACTAAAAAATATAATTTCAGTCAATTGACATTTGGAATTATTATAGTATATTATGGCCGCTCACGCATTGCTCGACTTTTTTATGTATAGCCCACAATATTTAATACCTAAGGTAATTCATGTTTAATTTTTATTTACAGATATTTTTTACATTATATCGAAAGTTGTATTTGTTGTTTCATTATTTTATTCGAAATCATCACCTACAATTAGTTTATTGTGTGTATTAGTCCAACTAGGCTATCTATGAAGTTTGTGAGGCTTAAACACTTAAATGTTTAATTTAGTCTCCCAATGATTTAAATAGCATGCAATTTAAAAGTAAAATAAACAATTTGTTAATGGTTTCGACGGTGATGTAGTCAGCACAATGAATGGGCGGTCAGATTAAATTTAGTCGTATTTGGCCAGCGAGCGTCTTCGTTATATTATGAATATTATTAAAACAAAATTACACAAAAAAAAAAAATAAACGAAAAACAACAAAAATACTTACGTTCACGTAAAATTGTTCAGTTATATAAATATATCGAATAAAATAACCGGTGTTATTTAATCCTAAAGTGTAGAACATGTTTTTACTGATTAGTGGCGGATTGGTCGTGCTACAAAACATGTTCGAGGAGTCCAAAATTTCTTGTTTGATTTTGGTCAATATTTTGTCGAACAACTCCAACTTGTCAGCGTTTGAAGTTTGTGTCAAGTCTCCCAAACTTTTATTTATATCAGAATTTAATTCTTTGAATAATTTATTCAATTTAATATTGGCCATAGAATTCTTTAACTGTTCCTTTATTACAGAAAGATCGGTTTCAGTAAATGATTTTAAATAAAACATAACATCTAGTGTTAGTTCGAATTCGAATCCACTATCGTATATATACGTGAATATACAGTATTCTTGATCTTTCATGAGCTTAATAGCCCTAATTACTTCCTCTGGTGATATTTCTTTGTTGGAATCTAGACTAATGTCTATTAGATATCTTGAGACTTGACAATGCAAATACATATGTTGTAGTAGATAAAAATATATTTCATTCAAAAAGACGTAACTCACCTTGTCTAGGGTTTTTTTTATCTCCTTTAAGTATGGTTTTTCCCTTTCGTTTTCTTCAATTTTGTACAAATACGATGTTTTAATAGGATTGTTATTGATTATTTCATGAATATTCTTATTTTCTTCAATCATTGCCATAAAGTTACGTTTTTGAATCGAAGTTAATTCGTTTCTTTTTCTTAAATCTTCAATACGGTCGACACATTCCGCCAGTAGAAACACCATGTTCAGGAAAATTAAAATTTTCATTATTACTAACGTTTTAAAATAATATAACGGGAACGTATTAATTTCTAAATATTTTCAGTAACATACTTATTACCTATTATGTAAAATCTACAAACGTATGCTCTTGCAAATGTTCACTACAATACAACGTAAACATTGCGTGTATAATGTGTTTTTTGTAAATATTATTAAATTTGAATTATTTGCTTACCTATATACATATATAGGGCATATTTTAATGTTCCTATAGTTCACATTTTTTTTTATTTTGTCTTACAGATATGTTTTTAAATAATACAACATAAAATTAATATATAATTATTGTAAAGATTGGTAAAAAAAATGTTGATGTTTGATAAATCTTCTAAATATAATCGTATTATATGTGTGGATATGTGTAGATTTTTTTGAATGTTGGAGATATATATCAAAAACTTTAAAAACCTATATGTTGTCTATCGTTATACTTCAACAGTCTGCTCAAAATTCATGAAAGGAAAATGAAAGGCTCCACATCACAAGTCCAATTTTTTTAATAAAATTTTTAAGAAAAAAAATAGTTTAGACGTGTCTGGTCTTCGTATATTAAATGCTAATCCAAAAAAATCCATTATGCTTATATAACCATACACGTATAGTTTTGTACGTACTAAAATTCAATTGAAAAGAGAAAAACTACAGTATTCCGAATTGTCAAAACGTCAATTTCCAAAAAAAAAAAAAATTAATTTGTCTGGTTGTTACACAGAAAATTATAAATATTATGATAGTTGAGTAAGTCTATTATACTTTCACTTAAAAGAGCAAACTTCGACGAGGTGAGCTTGTTTAATCTGATCTGTATTCTGGTTTTCCGAAATTCGGGGATGAGACTAATATGCTGCCTAGGTATAGTGTTCAAACGTTACAGATGCCTTTTTAGTCGGGGAGAAATGTTGTCTATTTGTTAACAACTCTCTCTCAACCGTGATGTGTGTCAGGACCGTTCTTACTAATTTAAGCAAAGGCCCGACAAGACAAGTTGTTATAATATTCCCACATGGACGCTTAAAACGCCTTCCTAAGTCAGGGATAAACATTGGCCAGAGGCCCAGAGTTCCAAAGGGCACTGCAAATGAGGTCAAAATTTGCAAATAAATCTATGTGGCTAAATGACTGACCACATGAAAATATCAGACCTGAGTAAGCCGAATCGTTTCTCTGCTAGATGAAGATCAGTCTAGACAACTACTGGAAAAGCCTGGAAAATAGTGAAGAAGAAGAGGAAGAAGAATCAAAAAAGAACAGGAGGGCATTCCGCATGTCAAGTTCAAAAAGAATATAGTTTCACGGTGAGAGGTTGCAGAGGCGTCTATATATTATATTTAGTAGGGAAGACCGTCTGACCAGAGAATCCAAGACCCTCTCCTCACCGTGTTCTGTGCATATAGATGAAGAATAGTGTAGATTAATACCATGGGAGCAGCCAATGTGAGGCAGCCAGACGTGACAGTACAAAAGTCTTAAGGCTAATGGGGCAGAACGAGCGGGCTAACCATGCCAGTTTGTGAACTGGACGAGATGATCAGGGTGACGGGTGATAACTCCGGCTTGAATAGAAGCACAACCTAGTGGTCACCATGGTAGGTTGTCAATTTTATGTTTTTTAATTTTTGTGATTTATATGATTTTTGAACAATAAACGATGACGACGGCTCTGAAGTAATGCTCAAGTGATTCCGGGGCTGTTTTCAATTCAAAAATGTAAAAGATGAAAGAGAAGAAAAATGTATAATATTACATATAAGATATGGTTTTTGATCTGTGCAATCCATCAGAAGTAATTAATTCGACGAAAACGGTGGTAGCATGCGATGGTGAAGTCAACCGAACGCAATGGCATGTAAATGATTCGGGTCTAATGGAATCTATCAGTGGCAGCCTATTCCTACAAAGTGGATTATTCATAAATACGTAAATACCATACAGTTTGCAACTACGTCTTCGAGTTAACTATTAATCAATAACTCACCGTCACCATTGCAGAGTCGATAATAATAGGTAAGGTCACGTTTCCGATAATAACACCGTAATCGAACAATTGGATGTGTCCGAAACACATTTATATCTTTTATCATGATTCAACAATTATCAACTATATAATTATATAATCAATCTTATAAATAATTATAATAATAATATAAGTATGTGACCATAATATATCCATTTATCATATATCTAATCACCATTATCATCGAGTTATCTGAACTAATAAATCGAAATATATTTTAGATTCTAAATGGAGTAAAGAAACTTGTAGTTTTACAAAAATGTTTTTATTATTTTTTAACTGTAAGCAACTTTTCTATCAGAAATCTTGCTCCGATATTTATGCGTTGAAACTATTCTGAAAGGAAATATTGTATTTTAATTAAGTCATTTTTGAATTTAGGAAAGACAAAATTCGACATATATAATGATTTTTTTTTCGCTATAACCATTTTTTCTACATGCAATTTGGCTCCGATTTACAACGATAGCAATTTTTCTGAAAGGAAATCAGACAGGGACGATAAATTAGGGTTGTAATTTTACAATTTTCATAAGAGTTTTCTCATCGAATTTTGAACAGCCGGGAAAAACATGGGAAAACCAGGAAAACGTAAGAAAAACGGGAAAATCGGTACAACATAAAACAAACATTATTAAAGAAAATATTTAATAGTTATTTAATTATTTTACTTTACTATGAAATAAATATTGTAGACAAAGCTTACTATCAACACTGAACTCTGCTCAGAATCATTTTTTCGTTATCAAGAGTTTATCATTGATTACGGTATACATTAAATTATCTGTCTTCATTATCTTAGGACAGATTTATGTATTTACTAAGTTTACTTTTAATGATTTTCTTTATATCTCTACAGAATAATTATGATATTAAACTTATGTATAATTGATTACACTTTTGGTGATTATTCATGTATTTTATATTTTATATACATTTTTTAATTTTTTTTCGGGTTCATTTTGGTATTATTTGGATACAATTATTTGAACGAATATAAATACTTAGAAATATAATACAAGGATCATTGTAGGTTAAAATCACCTCTCTTATTTTTATCGAAATTTTTAACAGATCACCTCATAAGTTCTTTTTTTGAACTTTTATTTTCATAAATTTCTTGGTTTCCGTGGCAACAAAGGTCACAACTCATATTTTTCCCTTCAGAACCATTTTTATTTTAGAATGATAAACTCAATTAACCTACATATCCTATATTTCAAACTAATCGCTTACAACAGTGTCCTACCCTAGAGAAGTATCAATTTTTTTTTTTGCATTATATACTCAAGTTAATGAAATCTAAAAAATTAAAATTATACATTTGAGAATGCGGCAGGTCATAAATAATCTTTTTTTTATTCTATATAAGTTTGTTTGCCGCATAGCAAGGTGTATGTGTAGCCAATATTTATAATGAAATAGATGCTTGTGTACACATTACATCATCATATTCTTAAATAATAATTATGGTGTTTAATTACGCAGTTTTTACACTTAGTGTAATATATAAATCGATATATTATACAATACAACGTTAATTAGAAAAAACTTTTTCTCCAGAATTAAACTAAATGAAGTATAAATATAATTAATAAAACGTAACGTTAATATCGTTGCATTACATTCAACAAATTAACGAATTATCAACCCAAAAGTATCCGTATAGTCAAATAACCGTATTTATGAGTAATTCTAATAAATAAAAGACTAACCACTTGGATAATGTTTAGTTTTAAATATTAATATTAAGAAATCACAAATTTTCACCGTACAAAAGAAAATAACTCGCCCAAAACGTGCGTTTTTATAATATTATAAAGAGAAAAGATTTGGATGATTGTAACGAATAAACTCAAAAACTACTGGACCGATTTCAAAAATTGTGCCACCATTAGAATGCTACGTATCACTGATTAACATGGCCAATATTTATTAGAAGAAAAATGAATTACAGACATATTTTTTTCAGGTCAATATTACAAAAAAAATTCTAATTGATTTACTGTATTAGAGTAATTTAAAAAAAAATAATTTTGGCCCCCTTCAAAATCCTTGTGGTGAGCACTGGCTCAGATAAATGATCATATTACGCTTAAAAATGTTCGTTATAACCTACTGGTATTAAAATAAGACAGTGAAAACAAAATTATTAAAATGTTTAATACTCGTAAATAAATATTTAAACAAAAAATGTATGCATCGCGTTTTAAATTTTGACTGTGATACACCTGATGATGAATATATTTGAAACTCATCGTATAATATACTTAATATAATATAATATTATTAAATATAATATTCCAGGCGACGCATTCATTCATTTTTTTATTTATATATTTATTTACGATATCTACAGGTATTAACTATCATTTTTCTATAATACGTATAGCGAATTATTTGATTTATATTACTTTTATTTCGCCAAAAATATTTAATCCTAATACATTTTAATGCTTACAAACACGTAATGGTTTAATTTACGGACATTAAATGTAGGATTAAAGATGTAGAAAGTTTTAAAATCGTTAACATCAAATTGTGTAACTTTGATTGGTGCCTCTATGTTTTTCATTTCCGTCTCAATTAATCTGCATGTTTCCCGTATATTCGTTATGTTGGCGTCCGGACCTTTTGGGCGATCCGTCCATAGTAACAAATTCGTCGATAACTCTTTGAATTTTACCAAGTCGTTGTTTTCTCTTAAGTCGATACGTCGTCTTTGCAACAACGTATTGATGAAATCGTCCAAATGGTATTGGAATACGGACAACGAAGACCTGGCGAATTCTAACTCTACAATATAATTGTCACGGTAGTCGATATGGAAGTTATTCTCACAATTATCTCCAATAAAATGTTTCATCCCTTTTATTAATTTTTTTCCTTCTTTTAACGCGACGTATAACATCACGTCCGCCGCGATATTATCGTATGCTACGATGTTCAGGTAGTACCTGTCAGTTTTCAATCTACTCTTTAGTGTTGCCAGACTGTACAAATTATCGGAGTAGGACGGATTGGTTATTTCATGGCGCCATTTCCAATTTACATTTCTCACCGGAGTAGTCGCAATATTCTGGAGCTGTAATTTATTGATATAGGTATGTCAGTATATTATATAAAACGCGTGATTATGTGTACGTAATAATTCGTTAGGGGAATAACCATTTATAAATATATGCATCATGAAAACATACGGAAATACAGAAATGAACTACGCTAGTGCAATGGTGTAGCCAGGATTTCAATGTGGAGAGCGGGCAAAACGAAATGCTAGAACATTATGGGTGTTTTGTACACGATGACTACACTCCTCAATCCTCATACAGACAATATGTTGCATAGAATAGTCACTTATGATAGTTTAAAATATTCTATTATTCTTTTGATGATAATTAGAAGGAAAATTAAAAAATTACTTTTTAATGAATCAGTTTAAAAAAATGTTTTTTTGTCGGTTATTGATTGGTGCAAGATTGTGAAGAAGTTGGAAAAAACTGAAAAACGAATTTAAAAAAACCATATGCATACTAAAATTGTCGCTTCGCTCAGTCTAAAGCCATACACCGCATACACTATACAGATTAAAGCAACATAATCATGAAATTATTATAATACTAATATTCACAGCAATTATTTATTTAATAGGGGTTAACGAATTTCATTTAAATTTAAAAAAAAGTAAGGTAGGTAAGTTTATTACCGTATATATTAGTTGTAATAAATGTTCACTTGATTTCTTTAAAAAAAAAAAAAAACACATACAATTACAAATTAATTTTATTTAGTAATAGTAATTATAGTTCCATATATTGTACATATTATTATTTTTTTTTCAATTTTTTTAAATAGAAATAAACAAAACATATTACAAACAATAATTTCATCATCATTCATTGTATAATATACATTGATTCCATGCAAATGTACATATTTTTGTTCGTTACATTTGGACACTTTTAGGGGTTCGTTCTGGAGCATATGAGCTTAAGCTCGGAAAAAAGAGTTGTTTTAGAGTTGAATTATTTCAATTAGTTTTAAATTAAATATTGTAATTAATGGATAACCCGGTTTTTCCGTGCACAGTATTGAACGAAAAAAAAAAATGATCTTTTGGGAAATTAATTGATAGTGTTTGTATAATTAGTAGATTTGATTCTATAACCAAAAACCAAATACACAACTGTTTAATATACTTTAAAAAGTGATTTCTTTTCCTGTGACAACCAAATATACTCGTATATATATGGATTTGAAGTACAAAATAATGCCAAAAGGTTATCTTCCATGTAACCAATGGAAATCCAAATTAAAATAACATTTTCGTATTTTGTGAAAAAAATTTGAATTTTTCATTAAAACCTCTTACTTTAAACACGTCTGGAATTTTATTATATTATTATGCTTAAAATCATTATCTTATCAACTACTTTATATGGTATTGCTTATAATCATTTTATGAAAAAAATCTTTACGTCAAAATTGACCCAAGCCGATTTGACCACGCCGAAATGTCTAGACCCGATTGCTGTCCCGCATGGATTTACCCGTGCACAGTATTGAGAGTAAACAATATTAAAATATAGATTCGTTTCGCCCCGTGTTTTCCTGTGTTTTCGGTGTCCACCTCATCATATCACTGTTATTTTTGTTGGCTGATAATATACATAGAAATATTTTGTTTGATGAGTACTTTTTTCCCCGTGAAGACGCAATAAACTAAACCTTGTTGCCAAAGTAATCATAAATCGACAAATACAAAAATAATGCATTTTTCGTTTCGAAAATACCAAAAATCTATGTATGCCACCCATCACGAGCTGAACTTAAAGAATATCATTTGTGTTAATACAGAACTTATTTTACATGTGCACATATTCATTCATATCCGTTCAGCCATTGTTTCGTGATTATTTCACAAACATACACTTACACGTTTATAACACAGAATAATAAGGAATATAATTTATTTAGTTATCAAAGTATTTATTACATTTTTTATTCTGAAATTCATTTATGGGAAAATACACCGGTAAACATTTACATGTTTTAAAATTAACTTGTTAAACCTGCAGTGGTTAGCTTATATTTCTGATGGGCGTGTTAATTTTTTATGTGAGATGGTAGTAATATAGAGTATATAATCGTCCCACTAAATATTTTTCAAACCTCCATAGATACTTCTTCATAATAAAATCTCTTTTTATAATTATATTCCGAATCGTTATTTTATGACATCATATTTGTCTATACCTAATATTGATGCTATTTTTTCGAATAACATACATACAGTTTTCGTTAGTTCTTACATGTTTCTTTATTGCAACTTCGATCATAAAAATTGTAGACTTTAAGCGGAACGAGCAATATATAGGTTATAATACAATACTGTATAATCAAATAAATATGCATGAACGTTTTACACGAGTTTCATTTTAAAAAGTTCGTAGTGGTAATAAAAAAAATGTTGAGCTTATTGAAGTAGTTTTTATTATAAAGGATTTAATTTTAAATTATCAGAAAAACGTAAATATGATAAACAAACTCCGCTTTAGTCTTATTTGATCAGCAGTAATTTATTGTTGTTTACAGTTATAAATCTTATACATTTATGAATTCACTTCCCACCTAATACAATTGCATACCTATCAACATTATAACCTCTTTTTCGCATTTTTGGTAATTTAACACTCATTGCATAATTATTTCCAAGCTACATCTACTTAAATATATAAAACAAATTTAATATTATCGATACAAAGATTATAAAAAGTTAAACGAATATAAAAATATTACTTGTTTTTCATTTGTACATGTATGGTTTTTTAGATAAATGTCATATCTGTATTCATTGGATTCCTATACAAAAACAGTTTTATATAATTTAGAACGCGTATGATTATGATTTTGTTTATCATTGATTTTTATGATACAATCAATAGCATGTATGATTTACAATTAATTGCGAATATTTAGCTACATAAAGTAAGTGGAAAATAATCTTATTCGATAGATTTCCATGCTTAGCTTAAAATAATATTAGGTCAAATCTTGTAACTTTAATTTTCGTTATTAAAACTCAAAAACATTACAATGTATTTTTTTTTTTTTTAATTGGTTGTTAAATTTTTAATATTGAAAACGCCTATAGTTTCTTTTCCAAATTATAATAGGTGGATAAGTTTTATGAAAATTTCGCGATTTGAATGTCTTTATAATTTTGCATCAAAATATATAATAGTAATATTTAAACTAATGTCTATTAATTGAAGTAATAAAATAATAAAGTAAAAACAAAATTATTAAAATAGTTTATTTAAGTAACTGGTAAAGGGCATTTATTTAAATTTATAATTATATAAATAAATCAGATATTTAATCTACCATACAATTGTATTTTATTTATAAAATATCAAATTATCAAATAATCAAATTTCCATTAAACAATTTTGTGTAAAACCTATTCTTCAATTTACACTTTTCACATAAAATCTTGTTGCATATAGGCAATTTTACATGCATAGGTACTCATATATTTTGATCCGCATAATTATATAGAAAATTCACGCAGTTACAGTTAAAATTAAGTTAATTATGTTAAAGATTTAAAAATTGATAACAAGTTTGTTCAAAATTATAATAAAAAAAATATTTATTTGTAATTCATAGTTCCAAACGTGGACCGGAAGCTTAATGATTTATAGGTTCTAGTTCCAAGAAGGTTCTCAAGAAGATTTTAATAGTAGTTCCGGATAATGTGAAATTAAAATTTTCGTTCCTGGTCTGTTTTTAGGAATATCGTTTTCGGAAAATACAAGTTCCAACTTTCAATTAGTTAATTTTTTAAAATTATTAGAATTGAATTGATTTCCGGTAGTCTGAAAACAATACATTTTTGTCTGTGTTATTTTCATGAAATGCAAATTCATGTTTTACAAATATTATAGTTTATTATTTGCAATAATTTTTTTAACCCTTTCAGACCTGAATCCCTGTAAAAAGGACATTTTATTAAATGCTGTTTATCACCATTTAAAATTGATTTATGGTATTAAAAGTGCATATTGTGCATCTATAGATTATATAGTATACAGAAATCATAAAATTAACAACTTTACTCTTATCACGTTTAAGTTTACCATAAAACACTTTTGGAAATTTTGGTAAAATATTGTTGGTTATTATAAATATAAATATATTGTTGAATCATAATTTTTTTCAAAAATTAATACTAATAATATTATTTTGACTCAGTAAACAACCGAAGTCCTCTACTGGGAACATACTTATAACTTGGTAAAAATAAAAAAATTATTTTGTCTTATGAAGCAACTCATTATTAAAAATTGATAAACGAAAAAAATCAAACTCAAAAAAATTAATTCCAAGTCTGAAATGCTTAAGATTTAATCTTTTTTTGTTTGTATTATCAATATTCAATAAGAACCTAAAATTACTGCACAAATGTATGTTTCCGGTTTTTCAAATTACGAAACATTGATTTGGATTTTAATATATGTCTAATTATCAAATTTTCATCGAGAATTAATTCTTTGGGTTTTGGTTTTAGTGCCTGATTTCAAAGAATTGTATAAATTTGTTAAAATTGTATGGTTACATACCAAAATTTGTCTACAGTTCCAGGAGTCGATATGGTTTTTTTCCGAAGGAAGTATTCTTTCGGTATCGGTCTCAAACTAAAAGTATCGATAATTTTAAATTATATATTTTAATTTGATGAAAAAAAATATGAACACTTTTAGAAACGACAGCAATTGATATACTTACAGTCACGAGACATTTTTCGGTTTCAAACACATATTGCAAGAATAAATCGGATTCGGCCTCTGCCGTGTTAAACATAATATCGTTACCAATTAATGGTGGACTGATTCTACATGACTCGCTGCCAGTAAAATAAATTCTGTCGTTTATATATTTCAATTGTTCCAATGGTGTAAGGTCTAGAAATTCATCACGTATGCTATTTCTCTCGTTAGTAATATAACCGGCGTATCGGTATCCTGGAAAATCACCTATTAAACGCATTAAATGCATTAACTGATCCTCTATACGAGGGATATCGGTTTCAGTAAACGTTTTCAAATAATATAGAGCGCGAAGTACCAGTCCGACATCGTATCCGTAATCGTAAAGGTATGAACAAATACAGTATTCTTGATCTTCTCGAAGTCTAATAGCATTAATTAATTCGTCCTTCAAAATTTCTGGGTTCTGCAAAGTAATAAGGTTCATCGAGAGACGACAATATAAATGGATATTTTTCAGTAAAAAACCAAAGGCTCTTTCCATAAACACTTTATTCATAACGTTGAAGGAGTTAAAGAAGTCATAAAGTTTTTCTTTTAAAGTTGTTGATGTACTACTTGATCCGTATAAAGGGGATTTGTCATCAAATCCTCCATTTATTGCATGTAATAAAATCAGACTATTGTCGGCCGAATTTATGTAATCACGAATTGTACTCGTAGTTAATTCTTTTCTATACCTTAGGTCAACTAATTGTTTTATACATTCCGCCATTAGAAACAGTGTGTTGAGAAAAATTAAAATCTTCATATTTTTTACAGTGTCCTAATAATATCATTAGTTTGAAACACTTTCGAAAATATACGATAAAGAAATCTAAAAAACTTTGTACGCTTACAAATTTCGAATAAAATACTAAACAAACAGGACATGTGTATGTAATATGTTTTATGAGAATTATTTGATCAAACAGATTTCTAATATAATTTTTTATACTTCTTTTGTATTTACAAATGTGTTTATCACATAAAGTGAATACCCACGTATCTAAACAACAGATTAATAGTTTTTCAAATTTCGAGCAATTCATTTGAAGTAAATATTCTGTTATATACCTATTCAACAAAATACCGCTTTACCACGAGTCAAATAAATATTACAAATGGATATAAAAATCAAAAATTTAATAATAAAATATGCCGAAACTCGTTTATATAAAAACAAATGTAAATAAATTTAATTCGAGAATACTATGAGTTCCACGAGTAATTCAAAAAAAAAAAAAAAACTTTTGACACTCAATTACATCTTGCGAGGTTTACAAGAATATATTTTTTTTCAAATACACTGCATCGTTTTATTTAACTTTCTACAGTGACGTATTAACGATTTTTTTGGGGGGAGAAGAGGGTGTATAAACATAATTTAGACCGCTATGTGATGTAAAAAGTACTAACCCACGGCACCCATAAATATAACAACCGTTGTCATATTATTCACAATCGCATTTAAACCTGTCTTTTTTGATTTTACTCTTCTCTTATTTCCTCTTAGGTTTATTTTCATTGCCATTTTTACAGATTCCGAATCATCTCTCTTCATGACAAACTCGAACCATCTGAATATATTCTCTATAATTTTGTCTATTATCGAAGCCACGCCGTTACTATCACTTATCAGTCGTGGCTAGTATTCTGGAATCGTATTAAAATACTTTTCCATAATTAGTCAAAGTTGTTTTCCGAATAGTTTAAAAATTGTTTTATTCCTTGAAAAAAATACTTACTTTTTAAAAGTTCCATTTTAAGTGTTTAATGCATAACTTTTAGATATTAGCTGTATTTTCTTGAAAACACTTAATCAATTAGTAAGAACAATCCGAATTTTTCACATAATACTTTAGAAGATCTGCAATATCTACATAGTGGTAATGTTGATACTTGATTTAAAACACTTGGAAATTTTTAATAATATATGTGTAAATCTATTATAGTTATTTTAAATTATCTAGTCTTAACATCCTTAACCTTACTTTTGTTTAAACATATATAGTGTCGGAGAGTGTTATCAGAATGATAATAATTCTGTCAATTTTCACTTTCGTACTACACAGTTATTTTTTAATCAGGTTTTATGTAAGGGGGACACGAATTTAGAGAAAAATAAAATATTTAATTTCATTCCTTAGCCACTGAAAAAAAAAACTTATTATTATTATCAATATTTGATTTTGTTTTAGTAAAATTACATTTTTAAAATACCTGAAATCGTAAATCAGTACCAAGTTAATCGAACAAAATTGTACAATATTTGACCACATAAAGTTTTAAAATTGTGTAGTAAAAAAAAAAAAGTTGTATTTAGAAGGTCGGTTTAAGCAGATTGGAAGAGGACCATAATAACGAAAGATAGTAGGCACCGATGCATAAAGTTCAGACAAATAATTTCCGATAAAAATCAAGAAATAGTTTCTTCAAAAAGAAAAAATAACGTATTATGACTATAAAACAGAAAAGAACTTTGAAATGAAAATTATAATATATACAATTAAAAATCCGTGGTTTTCCATGTTTATACAGACAGAAAACGTGCGCTTAACCAGCACGTATTTGATTTTAAGATCAGACGGATCTCGATTTCAGTAAACATTTTAAAATAATGTATGGCGTATAGTACAGCGCCGACGTCGTATCCGTAATCGTTTAGCTATGAACAAATACAGCATTATTGGTCTTTATAGAGACAAATAACATTAATTAAGTCGGCCTTCTGGATTTCAATTTTAAACATATCAATTAGGTCCATAGCGATTCGACAATATAAATAAATATTCTGCAGTATATAACCAAGGTTTTAAACAATTTGTTCATGACGTCGAAGCAGCACGTATATCACATGATCCGTACTATGACACGATTTGTTGCCGAAGCCTTCATTAACTGCGTGAAAAAAAGTATAATTAACCTCAACATTTATTATGCAGCTTCACTCGTAATTAATGTTTTGATACCCCTTAACCCATTCAATTGATTTTGTTGATTCTGTCATAAGAAACGGCGTATTGAGGACCATAAAATTATTAAAATCTTCATATTTATTACAGTGTTCTTAAACGTTAGTTTCAAAACAAATTTAATGATATACTATAAAGAAATATCCAATTTTGTGTATGCCCATTAAGCAACATGGCGGCACAAGGTAAACATCGCTTATAAGAGTATATTCAATGTCTTATTGAAAAATCGTTGATTATAATACAGATTTGTTTGCTTATTTCTTTGGTTTACAGTGTTTTCATAAATGTGTTGTTCATAACACAAATTGAATAAGTTCCTAAACAACAGGCAAATCGTATTTTAATTTTTCAAATGGTACTCATGGGTTGAATAATTTATAATTTTATATTAAACGTAAGTGAATAGTACACCAGTTGAATTAGAATTATGTTTATAATTCATGCATATGTAATACTCATGGATAAATACACTCGAAATATCATTATAAAATATGGCGTTAATTATACTTAATAATAATAATGTTAATAAATATGTGTTATTTTATTAAGTAACTTACACAACGAAATTACCAGCTCTTTTATTAAATATCAGTGTGGCCACATAAATACCGCCCACGTTAATTTACAATATTAATTAAGGCGCGTCGCTCACATAGAGGCGCCTATGTGGCTACCGCAGCAAAGTGGGTGTCGTCGGTGTGGGAGACCGTGGAAGGATTAAAGACGCCATAAGCATCACTAATTAAATCACTTCTCTGGGTGATCTCAACAGAAGCAAACATTTTTTGCTCACTCACTCCGGCCATACCTTTTTTTTCCGAACCTATACAATGGTTGCCGACTCCGGAGGTGGGCCGCTGTACATAGTTCACCCTATTATGTATACGTGGTAATTGTACTTGTTGTCACTATTGTTTGACCATAGATCGTGTTTATTTCTTTAAATAAAAATACGCGCATACTATTCCGGTACGTAGACGGCTATACACATTTCATTAACCGTTTGTGTATGCGGTAATGTTTGTGAATGACGTGTTCGTAATGCCGACGTCTAAATCGTTCGCCTCCGTGAGACGGTTGTCACGAACGCCTAGTAAGGGCAGTGGAGAAAATACACATCTCGCTATCGCCGGCACGGTCTACACACCCGGTTGCCGCCTAGTGAGCCGGAGACAAAAAAAGAGTATGCACGCGTCTATTGAGTGCCTAACGAGATGTATACATTGCAACAATTCATCGATACCTATACGCCTTACGTCCTGATCCAAATATTTTGTGCAACGAACGTCTCGCGAACTTCGTACGGAAAATATTAGGTAAGTATTAACCTTACATATTCTCGTAGTGGGAAATTAACTAGGGAAAGAAGACGTTGAGATATAATACCGCTTTTCCCGTTTACGGTAAGTAATAAATCATCAAAGGTGTGGGTATAATACGCACGCATAAGTATAGGTGCGATTTGTGTACGACAAAAACCGCGCGATGCACTATAGAAAACATCTCAATACGCACACAATAACATACGGGTGTATTCTATGTAACGTCGTAGGTCGGTCTGGACGCGCGCACGACAAACGCATTGTAACGGCGTCGCGCGTTGTCCTTGTCTTTAGGAATCGGTTTATCGTGGCTGCACTGGTGGCGCGTTATCGCGCGGCCTTTGAGCGCACCTGCTCGAAATATTGTCGTACCCTGGACATCGTAGCCGCGTCGTATAAATATTGCCTAATATACCATGGTAGATCGAGGTTAATGCCTACAACATACACCATACGTGCGCGACGCGCATACCCTATATAACCACTGTACCTACCACCATACCCATTTCATTCTCCTTCTTCCTCCCATAGTCACTAACCAACCCTACATAACACTTTTCATATAGATCCTTTTACTTAACCCCCCACTCCTCCTTTTCTTCTTCTACTACAATGTGTTCATTTCGCAACAACATAGTACAAGGTAACGTACAAAATGAAATAAACAAGTTGCGAGCACAGCCAATAAGCATATGCTTGAGGCGGATGAGCTAAATAATAAAATTAAAATATTATGCAAACAATTTTAATTCAAGAATATTATTTAGTTCCATGATTGATTCGAAATTAAAAACAAATTTTTTCTGCTCGATTACACCAAAGAAATAACATGTTGGTGCATAAGCACAATTTAGATGACTAGCTCTATCAAAAACCATATTATGGAATCTGAAAATATAGTAGAAGGGGTGTAATGATATGGGCGGGGTAAACTTCTAAAACTCCCCCTGCCACCCCTACCATTAATACACCGCTGAGTCCAAATGGATTATAATATGATTATGATTTATCATTTTATACTCAAACTTGAAAGATGCAGGTTTTTTTTTTTTAAATATTTCATCAGTAAATCAAAAATCAAGATTAAGTTAACAATGCGAATAATTTAGATCATTTTTATTAAATGTTATATTGATAAGAGTAAATAATTATTATGTCTCCCGAAAAAAAAAAATTAAAAAGGACAAAAATATTTTCAAGTATAATGTACTATAATGTAAAAATGAATTGTTTTCAATAGAAATTTATTTTACTATTATATGACACATTAAATTGTGTTTAAAAATAATACTTTTGACAGAGCTACACTCAGAATCCACTCATAATTATGTATTAAATTATCTTAAATAAATCTTTCTATATCGTAGCTTCCTAACTCCTCATCTATAACAATGGTTCACCCATGCGAAGTATGTCCGTCATTTTTTTTATGAAAATTAGGTAGGTATCTACACAAATGACAAATGTAAAGTTGCTAATGAATAACTTAAACTTATGCAAACACCTAATGTCAAATATATATATATATATATTTCCAAAGCAAATTAATAAATGATAGTTTCGAATTAAGAGTATAAAAATTATTTTGGTCTATATTAGGAATTCATAAAAAATAAAAAGAAAAAAAGAACGAATTTAAATTTTTAAAAGAAACTTTCTCAACATATACATATATTATACATACATAAATATAATATCTATATAGATTTTTTATTATTATTATTTGTTTTTATTTTTTTTATTGATTAGGAATAAAATTTATTCAGAAGTTTACTATACATAATATTATATTGATACATATCGACTATAGTGTATGCAAATAAATTAAATTTTAAGTGAATTTTATTATTTTTAAAACGTAAATGTATTATTTATACGTGTATATATTTTATGTATAAATATTTTTCATTGAATCCTTGTTGAAATCTAATTCAAGACATTTAGTAGTTCTTTTACGCCATTTATAGATTTGCTGAAGTAGTCTACACTTATAACCGCATTATTAGAATATAAATCTAGTAATTCTAACGCATTGTACTCTTTCTGGATTTCTTCTCTCATCAGTAGTATTTGATCATATTCTGTACTCGCGATATACGTTGATAGCGCTGTTATACTAAGCATATGTTTTAAATTTAAATCCATGTTCATTAAGTACGGGTGTCTACTTGCGTTGACGTTCCATTTTTTAGTAATTAGCCCACTCATTTTTTGTAACAGTCGATAAAACAGGGACAAATAAAATCGTAATGTATCCAAACTGTGCACTGCAAGTTTGGTGAAATTCGGTCTAATATCGATACAATATTTATACAAATAGTGTTTCGCTGCTTGAAACAATAAATTTGATTGAAATCCTACGGTCAGAATGAATGCATCAACTATGAAGCTGATATACATCAACATGTTGTATGTGTTTATATGTTTACTTATCCACTTTGACAATGTCAGAATATTGTGCTTGATCGATGCGGTTTTCGGAGATTTTTCCACTTTCGAATTTCCCGATGTCTGTGCAGTTGTGTTTTTTTTCTTGAAAAACAAAATAATTCTATTATACATTTCGAGATCGTTGAAATTTCCCTGAAATTAATAAATTGCGTACAATATATATTACGTAAATTCAATTGATCTATTTAAACGTGACCAAAAATATAAAATGTTGAACACGTTTTAAATATTTTTAAAAAACCGCAGCTCAATAAATAAAAGAAATCAGATCCTTTCATTCATTATATAAGAATAATTTCTTGTAAATTTAAAATGTTAACGTTAATCAAATAAAAACCTTTTACAATTTGTTTTTATTTGTATTGATTTGTTTATATTTGTTTAACATTATATGTATAGTTTAGACTAGTTGTTCTCAACCTGCAGGGGAGGGCAATTCTTTTGGGGGTCATCAATTAATGATTTTAGGTCAACAAAAATATAAAATATTGGGTCACCGTGTATAAAATATATATTTAGGGACCACTAAAAAATTGAATATTAATTTAAGGAATCTCGAGTCGAGATTCTCGACAATAAAATGGTTCAGAAAAACTAGTTTAGACCATTTGTTTTTAACTCGTGCACCGTGATACACCGTGAATTTTTTTTTTTTCTCAAAAAAATTAGAAATAATTAATTATGTATTACCGTCTTACTTATATGTGACAAGAATCCGTAATTTTTATAACTTCGAGCCTTAAAAAATATTTTTAATCGTATATCATTAAATAATATGTATAAATATATTATTATTTTTTTTTGAAGTTATAAATGTAATTAAAATGATTTAAGGAAAGTAATGTAGTGTATTTGTCGTTTAAACAAATTTTTTAACGTTAAAAGTGCTTGATTTGAGTAGTAAAACGTATAAAAAAGACAAATATTTTAACGTCTAAAAGTTTATGTCTTTTCTAATATTGCAAAATTTTTAACAGAAATTACGGACGTATTATACATTACAATATAAAGTCTTCAAATGTTTATTTGAAATTCTGAGTGGAGCGAAGAAGCTTATAGTTTTACGAAAATATGTTTATTATTGTTATTTGTTTTTCCATTTGTATGCAACTATTCTACCTGAAGACTTGCTCGGATTTCTACGTGTAGCACTTTTTCTGAAAGGAATTTGGCGTGAAAAGGTACTTCAAAGAGGTAATTTTTCGATTTCCTCAGGAGTTTTCTCATCAAATGTGAAAAACCACTATAAAACATGGGAAAACCAGTACAAAATTATAGAAAACATATAAAGCCTATCCAATTATTTTACTATAAAATGATATATATATTGTTGACAAAGCATCACTATTAGCTGAACGTTTTTTCGTGAGCAATAGTTTATTTTTGCTTACAGGTATACATTAAATTATCTATAACAGTGACTTCATCCGTCTCTATTGTCCTAGGACGTATTTTATATATAATGATTAGTTGATCAACTGATCATCAACTAAAAATCAATAAGCATACCTATATAATTTAACTATGTGTTACTTTTTTTTTTTTTTTTTTTTTTAAGAACTCCTAATATTAATTTTCGTTTAGAACTTATAGGTGTTACGATTGCAAAATAATAATAACGGATATCGAATAAATTATTACCATTTCCTCGGTACAGTCTACAATTTCGATGTATGCTTTATGTTGCGATTTATCATCATCATTACTACGTATCTACATTGAACACACAGAGTATAAATACTATATTCCTATTGGCGTCAGCGTGTATTCCAAAAAAAAATTATTTGCAGAGAAAATAAATAACAATAAGGAATGTATACTTACTCTCATGTCACAATTTACGCGTAAAAACTGTTTTAATGCTAGTTTATTCACAGAGATTCGGTTATTTGTATCAAATAAATATTCATCGATATCCATAAGGGTCATCCACGCATTCCATTTGTCCTTAAATATCATCGAACATTCATATAAACTCTTTTCGATCTCGGCTAATTTGTCAGTAATATAACGAGTATCGTTGTCGAAACTCGAACTAATTATTCCACCCGCTTCTTCGTGTTTACTTTGATTTTGAATAACATCTGAACTTTTGTTCGAATCGCCAGTGGCTTGAATATTTGAACCATCATCACGGTTACGTGTGGTATACAATTGTCTCTCCTTCAATTCACGATCTTTTACTGAGATTTCATCTTCCCGTTTTACAATCTTAATTGCATCTTCAACGACATTATTAGAAAAACTGTCAGACTTTGCAATGATGATGGTATCCTCTTGTTTACTTTGGTCGTCCTTCGTGTCGTAATGCTGTTTGATTTCGTTTAAAAGTATATCAACCGAATATACATACATATCATGTACGTTTTTCATCTCGCTGTATAATAGTATATGGTCGTACTTTTTTTCCACGTCGTTTCCAGCTTCATTGAGGTAAGTCAGGAAACGATATTCGTGTTTTTCTTTAAACTTGATCGCGTCAACCGCTTGGTTCATTGCGATCAAACTGGAACGGAGTGTAAATTGATGTTTTACTATGTAATTGTACGATATTCGATTATACTCTTTCAGCTTTGACTCGACGAAATTCTCGATCATAACAACAAAAGCGTGGTCCATCTTTAATGCCGCTTCGTGTAAATTTTGAATAGATTTTTTCGCGTCGTATCCGTCTACAAAAACTGTAAAACGCATCGCCTCCGTAGGAAAATAATCACCAATAGACTTTATGTTTTCAGCAGCTTCATATAGTTCGAAAGACGTACCTATAGCTTTCTGATCTCGCGGTGATCTTGTACCTTTTGTTTTAAAATGTCCTTTGACAATCATATTTATTGTAAAGAAAACGAAGTATAACAATAAAACGTTCATAATAATGGAGAAAAAAATTTCACTTCATTTGCAGGAATAATGGGAACCAAAAATTATGAACTCAAGGCTCGAAATATCTACCGTTTGTAAACTTGGTTTTTTTTTTTTATATTTGTGACATTTATATTTTCAGGTGCACAAATTTCAGTATTAGAATGTAAATATGCAAGCTTATGTATGCCTTTATATTCACACATGTTCAACTCCACTTTAAACATTGAAAATCATATCTACTATACGATAAATTATTATTGAAAATACAATTTATACGAACACGTGAAATGATTAATCGAAACTAAATGAAGTATAACCGAAAAATAAATTAAATTAATTTTATTTAAACAATGATTATAATACCTTGGTACTGAAAAACACCGTGGAAAGACCACAATGTGCAATGTTTTATTTTATAAATTTCACAGTCATAATACTAAACTGATATTAGTAATATTGCTTTCATAAATATACGTTTTCTCCAGAACATTGGTGCTTTTATTTTTGGTTTTTTCACAATTTTAATTTTTTTTTTTTTTCATATTCATACAAATACATTTTATCTTCCTGAAAAATTAAATTTCGATGGTGTTAAGAAATTAAATGTTTTTATAAAACCTACCCAATCGTATTGTTACATTACGAAGAATCTTTTTTTTTTTTTAATCACGATTATTTAAGATTAAGAAATCTAACAATACATTTTTTTCTTTTATAAATTACTAGATCCATTCCGTCATATTTCCTATTCTCTAATTCTTCCTGTTAGCTATTTTTAATTGTCAATATGAACCTTTTGTGTAGAGATCCTAATATCCCAAGATATCTTCCCATTTCAACCAGAATCTCGTTATTTTCGGCTTTACTCTATTATCACGCGTAAATGTGGATACTGACTTCACTAAAGGTGTTCAGCGTACGGAAATAGTCTAATATTGGTTGTCTCCACTAGTTTATGTTTCTGGATAAAATTCTTACTATATCTATCATCTATGAGTTTTCTGACTTACCATGATCACTCTTCATTTTCATCGATCCAAAGATTGTCCATGGGAGTTTTTTTTCAAAAAAAAATGTATTTTCTATTCTCTAATTATTTTAAAAACCATAATTTTAAACCATGTATAAACTAGGGGGTAATAACGTGTAAATCAATAACTTCTTCATTTTTCTTAATTGAGGACCTGGTCCCAGTAGTTTTGTAAGTCTGTAAAAACATTTGTTTTCGACAGAATTATTATTACTACCCCCTTTTCATTTTCGTTTATTTTTTTATCAAAATCAATCCCAGGTATTTAACAAATATAATATAATTAATAAACTACCAAGAAGCTATCATTAGATATACAAAATGTTGAGAATTATAATCTGCGTAAAATGTTACTGAAGTTCATGTAAATTGCACAAATCACGGCGTTTCTTATTACGTAGTAAATTACTAATGTTTCACTCCTTAAAAACAGTTGTACCACCTCATGTCTCAATGTAACATTTTAAAAAATTATTCCACAAAGGAATTCAATACATTATCCAGTGTTATCGATTTTCTTTAAAACGTTGAGTTTTATTGTACGCACCTAACCTTAATCACGAAAATTTTATTGTATTAAAAATTCTAAAAACATTATTGTAAAACCATAAAAGTCGACGATTTACCCTGTTTAATAAACAGTCTGGAGTAAATAATTTATTAATACTAAAATACTATTTCTTCCACCACTGTGAAATTGTTAACATTTGTTTACTATATAACTTTTTCTTGCCAGAAATGTAATAATTAGAAGCCTTATCTTTTTTCTTCGAAAATGCAAATATTTTAAATCAAATATTGAGCACATGATTAAAGTTAATTTAGCAGATATAATAGCGATGCCAATATATTAAACGCTAATAATACTTTAGTAAATTTGTATGTATTAAAAAAGTTAAAAATTACATAATAAATAATAGATAGTAGTTAAAATATCGAAATATCATTAATGATAAATTGATAATAGATCTTCGTTGCATATCTAATCCGAATTATCTTAGATTAAATATTTGTTCATTTCCCAAATAATAAATAGTTTGATAAAATACTGCATTTTAGGAATAGGAGTTTTTGAAATTATAGTTTAACTAAAAGGGACCGTAAAAATAATTAATGTAGAAAATATAACTGGAAATATTATGGAGCTCTCGGAGAAAAGAATGGTTCAGATCACGCTGACGTTAATCGATTAAAGAGACTAAATTATATATAGATCCCAGAAGCAGTTAGGTATGGGTATAAATTAATTAATTAATTTAAAAAAAAAGTTTTTTGATTGTTTAATAGATATTCCGTAATACTATGCTTAAAAGAACTAGCTTTGAATAGGCTCAATGGGCTGACTAGCAGAAATAAATTCCAATGGGATAAGGAATTTTAACTATCACATAGATTTATTTGGAATGCAATAAATAAAATTATCTATTTGAAGCACTATATTAGTATTTCATATTTTCTATGGGACATTTTAGTTTTTCTCACTGTCGAAAGGACAGTATACCTCCGTCTTAAAATACAGGCCCAAGGCCAGGAATTTTAAGGCCCTTAAATTTAAAATAATTAAATTATTTACAAAATATCTGTTATAATTTTACAATTTTTTTTTTCTTATAATTATTTTAAAATATTGAACATAACATATTAAAACTACCTTTGTATAAAGATAATGTAATTTGGATTAATACAAAGAATTGTTTAAAACTAAATTTAAAATTTAAAATTAATATTGCCATATATATTGTGGTTATCACTTATTTATAATATATATGTAATATCTTTTATGCTTTGACGACACAACTTCACATTTTAGTACTATAAAGGTAATGAAAAAATTACCTATATCATTTTTTGTAGAGATATATTTAAAATGAAAACTCTCTTCCTAATATTATAGATATATTAACAACTCAGTTAAAAATCATAAGGAATTTTACAAACTTAAAAATAAACTATTTGGTTTTATTATATTTGAAATGTTTAGCGACAAAAGAAATAAAAGCACATTGTAAAATATTTGTGCATTTTTTTCTTATTAATGCAAATTAGTTAATTTTAGAATTTAAACATGTATAAGTGTTTCTTGGCATTTCTAAACGTAGTAATTATAGTAAGTAACTATACATATTTAAAAATAAATGTATTAAAAAAACAAAAATAACAACATAGGTAATTATCAGTATTTAATAATATCTTTCAGAATTTCTTTATTAATGATAGTTGTTAAATGTAGTAGAGAACGGTTATTTTTAAAGTTAAATTTAACTAAAAAGAGTTTAAAAGTACTATGAACGAAAAGATTAAACTCCTTATTTTTAATGTGTATTAAACATGAACTTTTATCAAGTTAAAGTTATGAAAAGGAGGACTATGTGAATGAAAAAGCTAAGAAGAGACTATTAAATGATATTTATTTAAAAGATTAGAAACAACAAATTACTAAATAGGAATAGACAATTTATTTATGGCAGTGATTTTTATTTTTTATTATTTGAATGACATTTATTTGTTCACTATAAAAATTATTAATTTATGAACAGTTAATATATTTATATATTAATTATTGGAGCAGTAAATTTTCAAATCGTAATAAATAATAAAGTACCAAAGGTTGAAACAAAAATTGACTTTTCTGATAAAGGTATGATATTTATGGGCATGGAAAAAAGGGTGGGTTTTGGGGCCTAACATAATCTTAAGACGTCTCTGTAAAAAAACCCTTATCGTACAAAAAATTATAAGATAATGTTCATACTAAACCTTTCATTAATAATGAAAAAAAAGGTTAGATTTTTAAAAATTGTTTTGTATTGTTCATGTTCTGTATCTAAAATTAATATATTTTTCCTTGGATTTAATTTCATCGAAATACCTTCATTTTTTTACTAAATCTTATACTTTCTTATATTATAATATTATTATCGTACTTTATTAAAACTTTGTAAAACGGTTTATTCTCTATTTCGTATACAAATGAAATACCTGCATTAAATTATTTTGATTTCTTTTCGTGGTGTTTAATTAATCAATTAATTTTTTTACAAAATCCTAGTTAAATCATTCACCGTACCGTTGAACATATTACCTATGAATAACGAACACTCTTAATCACAGACATTTTCAGATTTTAGAGGGTTTCGTTCTAATATGATTTTGATGACAATTGACGTACAGTGACTTGGTGGCCAACTTGCTACCGCCTTAGTGGTGGTAGTGGTTTGAAGCAGACGGGGTCCTATACATTATATAACCGAAAGGGCCTGTCCGATGATTAAGAGTACGGCGGTTCCCGAGATGGTATAAAACGATTACAGCGAATAACCGCTTTGGCCCGTGGATTTGGCCATAAACAACATTCCCCCGAGCGATTTCAGTTAGCTAGTTAATGGTTCGGATATTGTGTCGGCGAACAGATGACCTATTCCACCGGCTTATGTTGTTATAGTTCGACCGTTTCACCACATTTTCGAACGGTTATCCCCACTCGTCTATACCAAATACACGTCATCGGAGACCTGATGTTCACCACTATGCAGCGCGAAACCTCCGTGGAGTTCGATTTCAATTCAAATATAGGAATTAGATTTTGGTATCTAAATTATCAACACAATCGCGTCTTTGAACCAAATAATATTAAACCAAACCAAATATCGTCAGTTCTATATGGCCATTGACACTGAAAACAACCTGAAGTGGCTATGATAATTATAAACTCCTTTGAATTATTGCCATATCTTTTGTACACAATGATGTAATCGGTTATACGCGAAACAAATACTGTGGACATTTGTAACTACATTTAAAGCATAATATTACATTCAGTCGGCCAAAGATAATTATCTCGATGACCAGCTACATCAGGTAATACCTAAATTGTAAAAACCAATACCAATTAAACACAAACACTCATTTTCTAGAAAAAAAAATACAATGCGTTGGAGACGTTAATGTGCTGTGAATAATAATAACAGAGACAACGCTACGAAAAAGGTGTTTG